CATGCAGGAATTCATTTTTATTTATATCAAATTCAGATCATCTCAAAGGTACAGGAAGGAATTTGAGAAACCGGGAAGATACTACAAAACAATGTTTGTATGTAATATTCTAGGATTGTATATAATATATTCTAGGATCTGTTCTACTACATTGGGTCTTTAATCTGAAATGTAGAATAAAAAAACAAATCTTCAACTGAAAGCTTCAGCCAGTAATCTAAAATACTTAGGCCCTATCTCGAAAAAAAACCACAAATATTTATTGTGATACATTATAGTTTTCTGTTACTAAATCGTTATTCTGATTCTTTACTTGATAAGAACAGTTTACACAACTTGAGTTTATTTTTATCTTTCAACGATACTGATAATTTTAAGGACACATTAATACTAAATTGACTTTTTACAACTAGCAGATTTAAAAAAGGGTTACTTTTTTCTATTCATTGGACATATATTTGATCAAATGTAAAATGATGTATAAGGGACATATAGGTCTCACACTTAGACATAGATTGTAATATAATTGATACTATTGAATTGGGCCACCCTGGTGGTACAGGAATTAAAGTCTCAGTGCTATCAAGCTATAGCCAGCCACTGAGGCATGGGTTTGCTCCCCAGCCAGGGAGCTAACCCACAGGGCGCAGTAGACCTCTCCTGTCTCACCCACTGCTCCCCTCAGCAGTGTATTTCAGTAGATCTGCCTGTTGTGCTCCCCAGACTGTCTCTGGTGAATCCTTTCACCCCTCGCACCTCTGTGCTACACCCCAGTTCTTATATGCCTAAATAAAATAATCTTTAAAAAAAAAATCAATACTACTGAATCATGAGAAAATTTAACACAGAAAAATAAAACCAAAAAAGCACCAGAATCCTTTTGTCCAATTACCTACCTTCCAAAAGTACTGTGCTCTGGGCTAGAAAGTACAGAATTCAGGCTACATTGTACTTTTAGAAACATTTCCCCTTTCAGTTGTTGATGTATCATAGATATCAGAGTAACACTGAGCTTTGAAATAATCTGCTGATATCACTGATCTTCAGAAGAGAAGGGAGGCTCCTCCCTCAGTGCTCATGACTAAGGCTGTCTGTGTGGAAACAGGCTCCTGGTTGCTTAGAAATTCCTTGGCTCTTGGCTGCTTGTTTCCCACTCTACTCGTAGCTGAAACCTCCTGTTGGCTTGAGATATCATCATTCATCTTCAGAGTCATGGAGTGTCATGCTACAGAAGAAGGAGTTATTATTTGAAATACCCTTTAGAGATTCCCATCAAGTGAAGAAAGAGCTGGAGTAATGACTAAGTGACCAACAAAAGTTAAAATATTCATACACCTCAATGGTCTCTGTGGCCATTTTTTTCATCTGACATTAAGACAAAAGAAGTTTATCAAGTTTTCTTTGTTTTCCCAAATTACTAAATAATGTATGCACATGAAAACAAAGCAAATTAACTCACAGTTGTAGCAAGTTCCATTGTCTTCTCCCTTCTCACTGTAACCCAGCGCCACCCTACTCCATGACCCATTCCAAAGTCAGGTATGCATCACTGCAGGTTTCTTTAGTCTAATTTCTGTGGCCTCTCACACACACATACACAAGTACATTCCAGTGTTGTGAAATAATTTATTACAAATCTGGGGTAATCTGCCACTTGCTTTTTAATTTAACATTATTATCAAAGACATCTCTGCCAGTGAATATGCTTACATCTACAGCACTGATTTAAATAGCAGCACATTTCAATTAGCATTTTTTAGCATCTTTCTATTGTTACAATGTTATATTTAACATGGTTTGGCACATATTTCTGTTTTTTTATTTCTATAGGATAGATACCTGCAAGTGGGAGTGATATGTCAAAGAGAGTATACATTCTCAGTTTTTAAAAATGGTGTCCAATTATTTATCCCAAAATGGTACCCAATTATTATCCCCAAAAACAGAGCCCAAAGTGTTGGTGTGTGCCCTTTTCCCAATAACATCTATAATACTGGCCATTATCAACCTTCTAAATATTATCAAGTTAGGGGGTAGAAACAAAAAGTTTTGCTATCTTAATTTGCATTTATGTAAGAACAGCTTTAATATTCAGCTGTTATTTTTTGTAGTTCTTATTAAAGATTGTCTTTATCACGTGTCAAGAGACATTATTTCTCAAAATCCTGAAGGGAACAAACCTTGTTCACTATTTGCTTTGAAAATGCCCTGTGAAACTACAAATGTTAACTTACCTACTAGAAGTCTTAACATTGTCAATTCAATTACACGAATTAAGCTATGGATGTTATCCAAATTAAACTATAGGATTCTAATTTTTAATCAACTGGACTGTGTCAATTTTAGCAATTAAAAAAGGCTTTGCTAACACCACAACAAGCAACCACAGGAAAATGAACAAAACATTAAAAATTAATAGAGCAACCCAAATCTACACAGATTATCACCAAGTGATAGGAACAGTGGTTGGCTCCTTTGAATTGGGGGATAAGAAAGCTTATCTGAGGTGGCAATAATTAAGACCTGAGTATCAAGAAAGAACCAGGAATGTGAATGAAGGTTGGGAGAAGTGTGTATTAGGAAGGTATGGTCAAACAATACAAAATTCATGGGCTATTTTTGTCTAGAAAATAGTAAGGGTTGGAGAAAATACAATAATAGGGTGGATTGTAACAATTGAGAGTAAACAGATTTGGGGATAGGAGAGAAGTGCAAGATTCCTGTTTGCACATGTAAAGTTAAGATCTATTATAGAACTAAATGTAGATGAGGATAAACAATCCAAAAAGTGATACCAGAATCAAGAAAGGGATCGGGGCTGACAATAATGATGTGGCATCAAGATGATTTTTAAAACCACTGAACCTACTAAGATCACCTAAAGGTCATACAAAGAAAGGAAATAAAGTCAAAGAGTGCCTGCATACAGATAGAACATCACAGTTAAGCACTAAGTGTTCTTCAAAAATACAGTGGTAGTACACTGATTTAAAGATAGGACTTTTAAAAAATACTGTTAAAGACCTCTATAATGAATTGTCTTCTGTTTTAAATTTTATATGAAAATACCAATAATAATCCCTAAAGTATGTCTGTGAGTTAAGAAATTCATGTGTGAAGTGGTAGTGTCTTAAGTGAGATAAGGTCACAAGATATATTGAAACAACTCATTTTGGTTTCACAAATACATACAAAAATTATCTGTCCCAAAGCCTTCTGGGATGCACACAAAGTACTGGACAATAGAAGACATTTTTTAAAAACATTTTTTATATGAGACAGTAACTTAAAAAATTAGTATGTATTTCAGTATTTCAGTTCCCAAGACTTGACGAGTGTCTACTTCAATTTTGCACCCATGGGTGCTTCTCTTGCCTCACCCAAGCCCCAGCCTGGGGACCCCTTTTAATTAGTCTAAAAATACATGTTTCATTTCATTTATTCAAATGATTGAAACAGTGAATGTGTATATATCAATTAAAACGATGGCATCTAAAATGATAAGTCCCAATTTAAGGTTTCAAGAGGTCTTGAAAATTTGCAAATGCCATGACCTAACAAAAAATGAAAGTAAATAGACCTCAACTAATTTCCAGCTCATAATTTATCACACATCATGTCATTGGTTCTTAGAGACTCAATTCTGAAAGTTTACAAATAGTCAACACTGTACATCACAAAATTACATGTATATTTACTGCTGAATTCTTTAGCAGTTTGTTTCCTCTTTCTAGCAATGAAGGGTGACTTTATAATGAAATTGAAAGAAATATACAAATACGCAAAGATCAGTTTTGATTTGAGGTCATTAAATAAATGCTAGGGATTTTACAAATAAGTAGATAAAACTCTTAAAATGATGGCTCAAAAAATATATATATTAAATAGAAGTTTAATTTCTTAATTCATGAACAATTTTGGCAGATAATCTTTCTGTGATATGTTAAATTTATTATTTATAATAACCTATATGTATGTTATAAACATGGAATACATAAACTCTTGATTAAATACTTAGCAATTAATACGTAAGACTCCATGAGTATAATGATTTTATTCTAGAGGATAACACCACAGATTAAATAAATACAGCAAAGGAGACCAAAATGAACACAAGAGAAACACAGTTTGCTCAGTTAACAAAATCAGTTGAGTCTACTTCTAAATGCCATTCACATTCCTCAAGTTCTGACTGATTTATTCATATAATTACTTGTTGATAGAAAATTTAGCTTTCAAAATTTAGCTTAAAGGATCTTGTTTCAAAGTGCAGAGAAACAATTATAATTATAAAAATTAGATATTTTAATTCCAAAATTATTGCACGTACCAAACCTTTTTCATATCATTTTAAGTCAACTAAATAAACTTCAGAGTCTAAATCTTAATTTCAAATTCCTGTCTCATATTGCAACATAGTAATAAAACTAGCATAAATAAAAATAGCAAACTCTACACTATAACTATATGAAATATAGTTTCATATAGTTTCATATATAGTTTCATATAGTTTCATATATAGTTCATATATAGTTTCATACAGTTTCATATATAGTTCATATATAGTTTCATATAGTTTCATATATAGTTTCATATAGTTTCATATATAGTTTCATATAGTTCAAATAACTATATGAAAACTTAAATAAGAAAATTAAGTTTTATGTTTATTTAATAGTAGAAGAAACAGCACATTTTTAATGTCAGAAATGTAGTTATCTCATCGTTCACTATGGGCTAGATAAATAAATAATGCCAAAAGGAATGCAACCAAGATTAAAGAAATAAACTCATTAGAAAATAAAACAATAATCAAAGTCATTATATTCACAAAGAATTCAGAGAGGAATAAGAGGCTATGAACAGAAAAAGCCTGTAAATACAGAAACAGAAAACAAAATGACAAGAACTTAAGATAACTTAAGGAAGTGGCACACTTAAACTAAAGGCAATTTTTATCATGATTGAATTGGAAGTTTGAAAGAGAAAGTCTTACTTACCTGAGTGAGGCATATAAACAAGATGTAAAGCAAATAAGAACAAAAGAGAATTTGGCTTCCATTTCCAATGACATCTCCACATTCTACCTGAGTGAAACATCCTACAATGGAAGAAAAACACAATCAGGACACTCAGCATTCTATAGAGTATTATGGCCATAGGAGTAGAATTGCAAGTTTTGAGCTAGGACTGTAAAATTGAAATCCTTTCCAATCTTGCCTCCAAATAAAGAAGGAACTTCTAAGATGATAAACATCTTCTTTAACCTGGGAGGCGGCGGGGGGCCGGGGGTGTAAGGCAGGAACCTGTGCATTTATTTGCCACTTGGTGGTACTTTCTTTTCAAAGAAAATGTAATAATTGACCTCTGCATGAATGTGGCGTGACAGATAATTCAAAAAAAAAATCATTTATTGAAAAAAAAGCAAGCTCATTTCAGCCTTCATCATCACCATACACTTGCCCATCTGGGTGGTAAGAAGATATTTATATCAATCTCCCTTCTAAGTTCCAGAAACTTAGACTTTAAAGAAAAATTTTCATTTTATAAGTTATGCTAAATTATAAATGGAAATACTTAAAATTAAGTTATGCTCTCTTCTTTCTCCTAAAATTAAGCACTGAAACTTTAATATCCAGTAAGAATAACATATATAACAATAGCTATTGATGTTTTAAAATGGCTAGTAATACATGGTAGCATAGAAATGAGTTATGAATTAGAGGATAATGCTTTGAAATGTCAAATAATTCTCTGTATAAACACTCTTATTTTTAACCTCAAAATTACACTTACTGATGATTTAGACAGGAACATCCATATTATCTGGGCTTAAAACTGTGGAATGATATTTTTCATGGACTTAACCCCTTCTGAAGAGGCAAGCAAGGGAAGAGGGTAGCAAATACAAAAGTCATTCACCAAAAGAGACCATAAATGGACTGGTAAGTGGGAGATTTGTAAAGAAGGAAGAGAGTTAAGAGGCAAGTAAGAAATATCCAGATTTTAAAATCCCCAAAGGGAGTTACTGTGGTTATAAGAGATATATGAGGGTCTCCCCGGTGGCACAAGGGGTTAAGCACCACACTATGAAGCAATCCGCAGCCTCTGCAGACTGAGTTTGATCCCCGGCCAGCCAGGGAGACACTCATATGGCTCAGCAGACCTCTCCCGTCTCGCCCGCTGCTCCCCTCAGCAGTGTTTTCAGTCAGTCAGCCTGTTCTGATCCCCACTCTCTCTGGTGAATCCTCTCACACCCTCTCCCCCTGTATCTCTGGCCTGTATCCCAGTTCTTGTATGCAGAAATAAATCTTTAAAAAAAAAGAGGTATGTGAGACTTACTTATTATTTAATGTGAGACTGGGGTTATTTACTGCTAGATGTCACAGTTATTCTACTTATGCTTTACTCTAAGTCACATACCTTCTTTATCTGAAGATTGCTTATCTGGAGTAAAATGTATAATACTAACTGAAAACCAAAAAAAAAAAATAACAACAAAATGGGAAGAGTAATATTCAAATAAACAAAAATAGACATCAAATGATTATTATACTTCTCTTGAGCCTGTGTTTTCAAGGTCTTTTATGATTAGAGACCATCCAAGTAGCATAGACAAGTTGCAGAGTCAGACCACGGATTGCTACAATGAACCATACAACCCTTGAGAAATGTACTTGATCACCCTGGGTCTCCCATTTTTCACCTTTAAAAGAGGAACAGTAATAGATCCCAGTTCCAAACTGCTAGCTGATTAAATCATCATGTCTTTTAAGAGCAGTGCTAACACTCAGCAAGCTCTAAATAAACATTAACTATTATTACAGTTATAATCCTCCTGAGTAATCTAACTGTGGTTGTTCTGTCCCTGGGGAAATCAAAAGAAGACTTCAACAAGAATGAAGAATAGGATTTATGTCATAAGCCACCAATCAATTGAACTTTAGCTATTTCTGCCATTACCTGGGAACAGAATTGGATTACTCATGTATACCATGAATACAGAAACTTTGAAGTGTCTCGTATTCACACTACATTTTTATAGTTACCAAAGCAGAAGTTCTAGCATCATTAAACTCCTAATGGAAATTCTAAACCAGGAAAAGTTTAAGATCTGAGGAGTATTTTTAATGTAGAAGGTATGTTTTCAAATACATCCATCTCAAATATTTTAAATTAAAAACAGGGTTACTGCTTGAGACACAATATATTATAGTAAATACAATAATAATGACAACAATAGTAGTAATCATGAATGTTACAGAGCTATATTTTGGAATGATACAGAGCTATATTCCGATGTATCCTCTCTGTGGTTTTGGGTCAAATACTTAAACTCTGAGCCTATTTCCTTTTGTGTAAATAGGATATTATCCATCAAAAAGAACTAGAGATAATACTACATAGCACTTGGTAAGTTCTTTTACAAAAGAGAAGATGATAAACTTCTGTCACAAGGAAAGTCCACTCACTTGGAGGAATAGGTCCATTTCCATCCATTGATGCTCAATGAATGAGGAGTTTCTCATTCATATAGGGGATGAATGAGTTTACTTCGAAAACAAAAACACAATTACATATTCAAAGAAGTTGACAGCTGGGAAAGTCAAAGATGAAGCCATTTCAGAGGAAGAAACTGAGGTCCAGCAATGTAGAGGGGTTGGCAATAGAAGCTGGGTGCCCGCCTTACAGATATAAACAGAAAGGGGTATCAGCCCAAGAGGACTCCCAACTTCTTAATCTTTGCACACATGGCAATTCTCCTTCATCAATATGTGAATGATGGTTCTCCTGAAGTTCATACGCCCTCTAAACAACCCTCAGGGAGCTGTGTTCATTAGCTCGGTAACACTTAATACTGTTTATTTTATGTGCTCATACAACTTTGTTTTGCTATAAGAGGTTCTGACATTTGGGAATTCCATATCCAATCCTGAAGTTGTTTTATAAAAGCTGTTTTTACAAAATCAGACAAGGGTTGCAAATGATGATCAAAGGATTGATGCGGTCCAGTTCTCAGAACTCCATCACTTCACACAGAAAAAGAACCCAGGGCAGGGCGGGCACTTGTAACCAAACATAAACCATAGGACATGCCAACTTTCATCCACTTTACTGTTTACTGAAGAACAGAAACAAATAAATTAAGAATAGAACAGAGGAAGGAAAGCACTGTGTCTCTTCTCAGGGGATCACTTAGCAAAGACACATCCCTGAGATTTAAACAACTTTCTCATAAGAATGGAAAATTCTGAACAGGGTTACTAAGGTTCTAAATAAGAACTCCAAAAAACAGTGCAATCTTGTGTCACTTGGGTTGTGGCCTCAAAGTTCTACTGAAGAGAAAGAGCAAGAATATTTTTAAGTATGAAAGTATACTTAAAATTATTCTTCTATAACCTAAAAAGAATATAAAACTTATGCAATAAAAACCCATCATTTAACAGGTGAAAAAAACTACAATGTTAAACACGCCCAAGACCACATAATCAGTGGGGGCAGAGCCAAAAGACCCTGTCACCAGGTTTCCAACTCACCTGTCCTTAGGGAGAACCAAGATCCCTCAATCACTAACTCAACCCCCTTTTCTATCTGTCTGGATTACAAAATACAATCTGCTTGAGTACTGTTTTAGGAAGTATTAGGACTTAGCCTATGTATAGAAATTATTTAAAAGACAGGCATGACGCCTTATAGATATGCTTTGATCTGAATACACCACTGAAATAATCTTAGAAACCTACCATCTTCTATCTTTTTGGCCCTACTGGTTCTCTTAAAGTTGCAATTTAAAGACAAAGTAGTGAAGAAATTTTGAAATTAGGGTAATATTGATATAATTCTATTAATATCAGCCAGAGTCCGAATAAAATTCATTCCTCATATCCCAACTGCATTTCTATGGCAAATCTTTTCACAAAGGGGCCTCAAGACTGGCACAGAGAATACATTAACTCTCCCAGAGTAAAAAGAATGATAATTTGGTTTATTCAAGTCTGCCTAAAATTGTATTTCTTCTTCTGACTAAAGGTTATGTTCCTGAGTCTTAGCAATGTATAAAAAGAGCTACTGGAGTATTCTAAGTTCTTTTAAATTGGGTTTACCTTTACTTCAAAAAGGTTCATTCTTCAAATCTGAACAAATCTTGACCATATTTGAGTAGTAACATGCATAACTGGTTCATACCATAGGTGAAATTAAAAGGTAACCTTGAGAAACACATACACACACACTATGTAAAACTGGGGAAATCTGAAAAGGACAGGTGTATTGTATCAATATTCTAGTTGTGATACTATACTATAATTTCCCAAAATGTTACCACAGGGGGAAAAAAGGATAAAAGTTAGGGGATGTCTGTTATGAAAGATATAAATTTTTCTTATAACTGCATGTGAATCTACAAATATCTCAATAAAATGTTCCATTTAAAAAGTAAGCACTAAAACCCTGATGTATGGAATTACACTCAGATGACTCAGAAAAAGAGTGTGTGTGTGTGTGTGTGTGTGTGTGTGTGCGCGTGTGTGTGTGTGTGTGTGTGTGTGTGTGTAAGTAGGAAAGAGAGTGGTGGGACTAAGAAGGAAAATAATAAAACAAATGGAGTAAATTTTCACAGTGATTCTGCATCAAGTATACAGGTGTTCTTTGTATTCTTCTTTCAACTTTCTGTGGGTTTAAAGTTATTTCTAAACAAAGTTAAACACACGAGACACATTTACACCATTACATATACAAGTGTATCAATGTTTATTCCGTGATACTGAATCACAGTTGAGTATTTCTGCTTTAATCTTGGCCAACTGGATGGAAGTAGTGTCTCACTTGGAGTCCCTTTATTTGGATTGGCATCTTCAAGTCATTTATTTAGTTTTCTGTACAATATAAATATTTTTCTTACTGATTCATTATTTTTTTCACCAATTCTACACTAAATATACTAAGCCTTTGCCATATTTACTTTAAATTTTTAAAAGAGTCATCTTGAAGTTTTCCTTAAGATATTCCAAATAATTTTATGCTGAGTAATGCTTGTAAAGGACAGTAAGATGATATTCAGGTAGCCACACTCAAATGTTACTTGCATTTTTAGTTAGGACTGAAATGTCCTTTAAATGTCACTGCCCACATCACTCACTATGCATCTTCATGTTATCCAGTGTAGATAATGTAAAACTGTCATCCAATTAGAAATGAAATGGAAAGTTACTTTTTTTTTTGCCCAAGCATGCCACACACATTGAGCAAAGTCTTTTTCTATTTAGTCTAAAGTCTAATCTCTAGAAACTTTTAATCAACTTTTACAGAAATGTAAACTCTGTAAGAGATGGCATTGAGAAAAATGGTAAGGTTTAAGAAGTGGTTATTGGTTTATTTTTAATATATAAACTGATTCTCTCTCAAATCATTATTTCCAGAAATCAGAGTAACATGTCCAGTTAGGCGGTAAAACTACAAGCTTCTAATATTTCCCATAAGACAAGAGACAATAGCCTCATTCACCATTCACACTGGAAAAGCACAATGTCATGTAATTTATATAAGCCATAAATGGAACAGTAGATTCTTGCAGCTTGAAATCCATTAATGCAAGTCTTGCTAAATCTACTAAATTTCTTAGGGTATGAAAAATATACAGTCACTACAACTCAAAAATATACTTATAAAATCTGTAATTTCAGAACTTGAGTGTAACACTACGTAAAAACTCTTTCTCCACAAGTAGGCAGAAAATACAGTGAAATTGTTTGTATAGTAGAATCTGAAAATTGAAATTTAAAAGATAGTATGTTTATGTTCACCACTTTAACATTTTGCAACAAGACAGTAGTATCTTGTGGAATATTTACAATGTAAATGGGGTATTTACATTGGAATGGTTGGTATTATTTCCATATATTCTAACACACTGATAAGAATCAGCTCATCCTAAACCACTCCATGTTAATTATAAACAACAAAATGGAAAAAGTCATTACTTAGGAAGAAATGGAAAACTTTTAGTAAAAACAGTTCAATAAACGCCAATCAGGAACACTAAACTATATTTTATTTAATTAAATATTTAAGCTTTTACTCTACACAATTTTTTTAATTATGTGAATTTCAAATGGACTATATAACTTAATTTCATAACTGCAAAATTTTACAGTTGCTCAGTCTCACCTTTTATTTTAAATATTGGTATTCATATATCTTTTTTAATGTGTGACATGCATTTTCCCCATATGATCTAAATAACCTAGAAAGCTTAAAGGAAGCAAGACAAAAATCTGCTGTTAAAATCCTGCTCTACTTTTAGGGAAAACTGAAGTTCAAAGCAAATTCACACTCATTCAAAATCTGCTGCTTGCATATGAGAATAATTCTTACATGAGAATGTTGGCTGTATCCCAGAATAAATTCCTTCAGGTTATACCTTGCTGATTCCACTGGCAGAAAAGAAACTTTAAAACTCACAGGTGTGGAATTACTTCACAGGCAGTTTTAATAAAAATAAAAATAAGTGGCTCCTTTCTAACTGCCCGGCCAGCTACCAGGAACAGAATTGCAAACTGGGCATGTGGGCACTGCTTCTTTTCCTGTTTTAAAAATGTGTGCTGGGGGCTTGGAAAGGGGTGCTGAAGAACCATACCAGCAAGGGAAAGACAGAGAGTAAAAGGTCTTGCAGGGTGTCTGCCCAAGATTAAATAAAACACCAGAAGGAAAATTACATATTACAAGAAAAAGTAACTTCTGAACTGCCCACAAAAATAAGCTTGGCCCTTTTGAAGACAACCTTCCTTTTTCCATTCTGGAAGGCCAGGGGGTGCTCTGTGGCCCTTCGGTGGGGTCACTCTGAGGCACCTCACCACTTAGATGACAATTCCATACAAGCAAAACCTACTAGGTTCACCCAACCCTTTCAACGCCCTAACCCCCCCCCCAATTCTGATGCTACACGAGTCCCCTCACAGATCCTACCACGTAAAATGACATAGCCCTTAACTACTTTTAACCATTCAAAATAACCCAAAGATCCAAGAATAACTTCTACAGTCCAGGGTGACAATGTGAAAGTCAACATTTTCTCGGCATACCAGTACCTTCCAGGCCCCCAGGTGCTGATCCAGGAGAGCACTTTCTTGGCAGGGTCAGGGCCCTGAATCGAGGAGCCGCGCCTTTTACTCCTTGTTTAATTTGAATCGAAAACACGTTTTCCCCATTCTCGAAGCCCAGCCCTTTTTTATTATGCTTCACGCCGCCCTAACGTGAGGTTTACCTCTCGCTGGGGTTAAAAAAAAAAAAAGGAAGCCACACACTCAAGTCACAGCCCCGTCTGGCAATGCCAGCTCTCTCCAGTGCCTCGAGGGGCAAACTGAAGACAAACCGGTTTATTCTGCCAATGCAGTCTAGTCCTTACAAAATCGTTTGGTTGGGGGTGGGGGATCGGGGAGGGGGGGCGCACACAAATGTAGGTGTGAAGGAATCCCGAGCTGAAAGGTGAGACTTACATGCTGGCATTACTGCGCCAAGGTTCCCGGGGGCCGCGCCTTCACGCTCCGGATCCTTGTGCCGCTCCGCTGCCCCGAGCTCTCCACGGAGAACCCCCCGGCGCCCGGCAGAGCGCGGCGGCCGGACCCTCCTCACGCCCTTTCTGGGGAGTTCATGGGGTTTCCCGGCCGCAGGTCCTGGGCGCGCTGCGGGCGGCGCCAGGTGGCAGCCCCGCGCGCCGGGGCGCAAGTGCGGGTCGCGGCGGGGCGGGCGCGGGCGCAGCGCCAGGTACCTCTTTGCAGATCAATCGAGGAAAGTTAGGGCCAGAGGTCGTGCGCCCCGGCGGCGGCGCTGGGCGCTCCGGGTGCTCCGGGCCGGCGTGGGTGGAGGGCGTGTGGGTGGGCGGGTGTGTGGATTCGACTCCGCAGGTCTTCGCCCCCGCCGGCGTGGGGCGGCACGTGGTCCCCCCTTTGTGGCTTTGGTCTCCCCCGCGGGCGGGGTGCGCCCGGGGCTGGTCCGCCCGCCCGCGCTTCCGGCGCCAGGCTCGGCCGGGGCTGGGGGCGCAGGTGCGGCTGCCCCGGCGGTGCGCGGCGTCTGACCCGGCCCCGGCCTCCGCGCCCCGCGGCGGGGGCCGTCCCGGGCCGCAGCGCCCCACCCAGGATCGCCGGTCCTGGGGCAGCAAAGGAGAAGTCCGGCTGCGGAGCGGGATGGCGCCCCCCGGGCGGGGCAGAGAGGACAGAGTTGTGGGGCTTGGCACCCCGCGGGGTTCAGCTCCCCGGCAGGGGCGGGAGCCCTGTGGAACCCGAGGTCGCCGGAGAGCTGAGGTCTTGAATCCAGATGACCCTCGGGAAGCGCGGAGTGGGGACAGCGGTGGGCGCAGCTCCTCCCTGCGGGCTGGGGTCCTGCGTGCCAGCCGGCAGGGTCCGCGTACCACCCTCCGCCAAGCCCAGGGCCACTGACTGGCTTTTCTTTTCTTTTCTTTTTTTTTTTCTGGACCTTTGTTCCCTTCTTTCCTTCGCTTAACTTCTTCTTCCACACACACGCACCCCGACCTCTCCCTGCCCTGCGCCTCTTCCTTCTTTTTCTTGCTAATAATCAGAGTGGAGGGAGAGTCTCCGTGTTTTCAGAGTACACCTAGTTTGCCACCCCTTGCCATCACATCTCTTGGTCTTTTCAGGGATAAAGGGGGTGAGAGCCCCCCAACACGCCCTTCTATAACCGAAATGTAGAGCTTGCAGAGCCTGAGCCAGAGGCCGCTGCTGTATCCCAGTGCACCCCACTACATTCTCCCACTGATTTCTTGACACCTGCGGTTCCACAGAGGGAAATTCATCCTTTTGTTCCTGTTTAAATACCTCTGAATACCCTTTGGGTAGTAACACTTTAAACCTTTGTCATTGCCCTCAGTTTGAATTGTTGATATCCCTTTTGGAAACAAAGGTGGTGGGGGCCTGTGGTCAGAGGTGGAAACAGTCTGGGGGGCTGAAAAGGGGGCAGCAGGGGGAGGTGAACCGTATAATATAGCAGGACCAGTGAGACAATGCCTGCCTCACAATTTTGCCTGAACTGTCCTGCCTGGACCCTTTCTGCTGCTTCACGAGGGCTCAGGGACAGGGCTAGATGAGTCCTACCTTCTTTGAAAACCTGTGCCATAAGAAAAATGAAGGGATATTAACATGGAACTGGGAAGATGTTCACACAACATTGTACTCAAAAGGATTGACTTGCAAATTCAAATTCAGCTACCTATTGAGGGCAAGATCCACTGCCTGATCACCAGTGCCCCTATAAAGTAGCTGCGTGGCAAAGGAATCTGGACACACCTCCTTGGAGATGAGAAAACGAACTCACAGTTGGAAAGACATTCTCTTCCCCCTTTGCACTGCCAGAGTCAACCCACAAAATGCTAGAGCTATGTACACATCCAGAGCCAGAGCAACCCAGCTTGAACTGTGAGCATGCACACAGGCCCCATGCAGAAGTGCCAACAAATTTATATAACATTGATTGGCTAGTGACAGCTTCTGGGGTGGGAAAGGAGGTAGCACAGCACTGGAGCACAGACAAGGACCGCCAGAAAGGAAGCTGGAACTCAGCCACCAAATCCAGAGGCCTGAAAATCCAGGGTGTGTTCTTCTTGTGACTTTATCAGTATTTATTTTGATGAATAAACAGTATGATTAATGGAGACATTGAATTGTAACACTTAAGGGAAACTAAAGGTCCTCTCTCCTGGCCCCTTGTATTACCGATAGGGAAATGAAACCCAGGGATGTGAGATCTGCAAACCAGAAGTTATAAAGGGCTACTTCCCAGGTCTTGCAATGAACATCCCCCAAATTTAAGTTCCACCCAGGACTTTTTTTTTTTTAAGCAACAAACTTATTTCAGTGTTCTCAGGCTTAGGTATCAAGACACGACTCAGGACAGTATCTCTTATAGAAATAGTGAAAGTGTTAACGAAGGCTGTGGTCTTATCTGAAGACTTCACTAGGGAATCCTCTGCTTCCAAGCTCGAACACATAGTTGTTCCACTCATATAATTTTAAAGCTGGAAAAAAAAATTAGGAACAGGATAAACAAAGAAATAATAAATTACAGGATCTCCAGAGAAACAGACCCACCAACACTGTGTGTGTGTGCGTGTGTGTTCACACAAACATATTTATGGTGAGAGGTTTAAGGAATTGCCTCATGTGATTGTGCGAGGTAGACCAATAGACTAGAAACTCAGGAAAGAGTTGAGGTTCAAGGCCAAGAGCTGCCAGCTGGCAGAATTCCTTCTTGCTTAGAGGAGGTCAGTCTTTATTCAGTGAAGGCCCTCTATGGATTGATGAGACATACCTGCATTTTGAGAATAATATGCTTACTCAAATCCACTAATTTAAATGTTAATCTCACATGAAAAAAATTCACAGAAACACTCAGAATATTTCCCCCAAATACATGGATATGCAATTTATGTTCTGATATTTCTATACAACGACGTGAATCATAGCTAAAATATTTCAAGCATTTAGTGTCTGTTACTGGTCAATACATTAATAAAATCTGTGTATTTAATACTTTTGTCCTCAAGCTAAGGGTGTGTTCTTTTCCTTTTGGAAGAATGTGTTAGGGAAATGGCATGTGCAGATGAAAATACTCAGTCCTTAATGCAGCAATGTGGATTCAAAGCTTGCTCTTGTAATTTACCAGCACTGTGAACTAACAGCTCGCTGTTTAGACTGACTGGTAATGACACACACTCACCGAGCCATTGGTCAGATTCAATGAGCGAATGACAGAGAACACTCAGCATATTTCCTGGAATTTGGTGATATTGGTTGCCTCCGCCTGCCCATCTATCATCTTAAAACTGAAAGCGCCAAGATCACATTCCTCTGCATTCAGGAATCCTCTGACAACATTCCAGACAAAATGAATATTGAACATCTGTTTGAATCCTTAGCATTGACAAACACCCAACTATGAGAAACTTCCTCTTGCTGCTGATTGAATCAAACATTCATGCCATTGACTTCCATTCAGAACAAGGACATTCTATCTGCACAAAAAGCCTTTCAAATATTTGAAGACAGTTATCATGTCTCTCCTCAGCCTTCCCTTATTTCGTTTTCACAGCCCTGGTTACTTTAACCATCTGGTCCCTGGCTCTGCACCATGCATGTCATTCACCCTTCCTCATCAGCATGAGTCAGTATCAACCCCTGGGCCACGTGCACATAGAGGATTCTGCACTTTGCCCCTGGTGATAGTAGGATTCCTTCCTCAACTGGACATTACTCTCGTGTAAATAAAAATTAATGTTGACCTTTTTAACAATCATATAAAATATTTATAATGAGAATGGAGCAGATTTTACTCAATTGATCTTCTGTATGCCAGATAGTGTATAAATTTTATGCTATAAATCAAGTTGATCTAGACATAGATCTTAATTTGTAAATAATTCAACAGAATTTCTGTTTTAATCTCTCATTCTTAAATTCACTTCCATCCCTTTCACCAGGCTTGTTGCTTTTGTCAGTGAAGGGTAAAAAGAACGTTGTCCTTGATTTGCCTGTGAGAGCAAATAACAAGCTATCTGACTTCTAGTCTTCAGTCCATACAGGTTGTCAGAATTATCAGCGTGCTTCCTCCAACGTCCTGTTCTCACTTCCATCCATGATGGTCCATCACTCTCAGTCAGCCTAGTCACTTTATTCAAGATCATGCAACAATTAGGGAAGCTGAGTCCATGCCAAGTTCTGAGTGACTCACAATGCTGTATTTTCCCTCAATGTCTCTCTTCACTGGGAACCCCACGTCTTTTCAATAGAGTGGTCCTCAAGTCAGAAAGCCCATTCTGCTCTAATGCAATGATCTGAACCCATGGCCAAGAAGCTGTTTTACTTTGTTTCGTTCAGTATGAACAAACCAGTTTGAAGACTGATTCCTTCATTAATCTCATTAATAATCCTTCCCAAGTTTTGCTACATGCAGACTTAATTAATTATACTTTTACATATATTTCGGGTCAGAATGGGAATGTGGACCCTAGCTAAGCCTCATTTCTCCTCATTTTCATGAGGGATCTTCTTCCTTGTGATACCGATAACTGAGATTGACATTGGAAGGCACACATTTTCAATCAATTGTTTTTCTATCTTGCCTTCCTCTGAATTCATATCTTTCTCCAACTGGAGTCCCCAATTTATCACAGGTGATTTTACATATCAGGAAATTTCTATAACTTTTATATCCTCATCTACTTACTAATCTAGGCATCCTAGTTATCCACTAGAGTGAATATGAGAATGTA